TATAAATCAGAATATATTGTTCTGTGTTTTAAAAGGGCTCAAGGAACTGATTTGATCTTGTGCAAAACTGAGAATGTTTATAAGAATATAATTTATCTTCTCCTCTGCAATAGTTTTTTTACGAATATTCATGACTGACTTGTTCCATTCTGTTAACACAAATTCTCCCTAAAAGGAACAAACAAACAAACAAACAAACAAAAAGCTTAAACAACGTGGCCTTAAGAGACTCCAAAGATGTTAGAAATACACGTCGTATGAGAATGGTATTCAAATAAAACGGAATTGCGACCGGTTGTATTACTTGATAATTTCTTGCTCTAGTAACAATAACATTGTAAGTGACAACTCTGTTTTCCTAAATTGTAAGCCTATCCGTGGGACTGCACCCTTCTCTTTCCCCACATGTATGATCTGGGGACCTTGGACTCCGCGAGACTTATTAGGCAAATATTTTGAGACTTGTCTGTTTCAAACACCAAACGGATGAGGCTACGTGCTGGGAATTCTGTTTTTCTGATACTGGCGATACTACTCGACGAGTCTCTTTGTCACCGTCTTCTCTTCCTTCTTCCCCTGGACTATGGATGTCACTGGAAGAGGAGCAGCCATCTGGCAAACATGGGATAACCATGCGCACTGTCCCCCTGTGATTTCCCTCCCGTGTAACGCGAGAGGGTTTTATTGCCCGGGATGTGACGGTCCTTCAGACTTCACGATTCCGCGCTCTTCCCTTCTCCAGGCTGCGCCACGTTTATGGGTTGTCTCCACGGCAACCTCTTCCCTCTCCCTCTAACTGCTCAGTTCCCTTCCCCGGGTCGCCTCCTCCTTTGGGGTTCAGGTTCCAAGAGTTCCAGCTTGGACCTTTCTCAACACGTCTCCATCTGGCTACTTCCTTGAAAGCTGAACGTCGCCCTGGACTTCTGCTGAGCGCAGCAAGGGGCTGACTGTCTGACTCACTCCGTGCTCCGGGACACCGACTGGAGAACTCGCTTTCCCGGGGATGAGCTGGTGCCACGCCCCACCGTGAGCCCGACGACTCGGCGACGCTCAGGGAAACTGCACGCGCCCAGCAACGGACTCCGCGGCCACTGACGGGGGCGGAGGCGGCTAACCGATCAGCCGTCTTACAACCAGTTCCTTAGGAGGCCTGGGAACCCCCGAGCTTCACCCACACCCCAACAGCGGGAGGTCACGTGCGGAAACCCGCTCCGGAGAAAGCCCGCGCGCCACTGGGCACGTGCGCCCCACTGGGCACGCGCGCGTCCACCCAGAGCCAGTCAGGACCCGAGGATGCCCGTGAGAGCTGCGGGGGCGGCGCGGGGCTACGGAGGAGAGCCCCGGGGGCCTCCGGTACCTGAGCCGCCCTGGAGCAACGGCCACCACTGGGCACCCTGGACTCTAACAGGGGCGCCCACCCCTCCCCCTCGACAAGCCCTCCAGAGAATAGTCTGTCTTGAGCAGGTGGTTCTAGAGCTTGAGACTCCAAGATAATCAACCATTAAGCAACACTCCTTTCTCAACCCGGTACTTGTGGGGGAGCAGGGGACGGCCGGGTTGGAAGCCATTGATCAAGGAACGAAATGCCAGGTGCACGAGCCTCAGGGCCAATCAGAAGGCACCTCGGTACCCCCTTGTTTCCTGTCCTGAGACCAAGGCCCCCGTCGTGAACAAAACAAGACCCAGCTCTCCATTTTCATGCCAACCCCTTCCTGACCTGTTCCCAGCCGGGTCCCAATCTTTTTCTCGTTCTCTTCTCCTTCCCCAAACCCACCACCCTCCCTCTCCCCATCCTTGCCCACCTCTCCCTGGTAGAGGATTTTTTTCTTTGATAGAAGCAAACCCCAGTCCTATGAGAGACACTTCTATTCCCAACTCAAAACCTCTGTGCACAAGATTCTGATGAAGAAGAGCCCACTTTCCAAGATTACAAAGCACAGGGAGAAATAACCCTCCATGAGTGAGGATGAAAGTCCAGCTTCTCCCCAGAGCCCTTGGGGCCCCGAAAGGTCTGTCTCCTTGGGAGCCCACTCCTTAGTCCGCCCCACTCGCCCCGCCTCCCTGGGCTCTTGAACTCACCAAACCTCTCCATCTCAGAGATAAGAGTCTGCAGTTCCCTGGCTGGCTCCTCAAATTTCTTTAGGTCTCAGCACAAATGTCCTTTTCTCAAAAAGTCTGTCTTTCTAGTCCAAACCAGGTTCCTCCCCTGGTCCCTTTTTCTTCCTGGCGCTTGACATTTTAAGCAATAATTTTGTGTTGATTTCTTCCTTGTCTGTGTACCTGTGTAGACCACAAGCTCCACAGAGGCAGTGGCAGTGCCTGGCCTGTCTGCTCTATTATCCGGCACAAGGTAAATCCTCCTCTTTCTGTGAAATGTGTGAACCTGCACGCATAAACATCTACCCTGAGTACAAGATGACCTATCACCGGTATTGAATGGAGAACCACTGGATTTACCCACAAATAACGCCCCAGGGAAGAGACGACCCTTTTTCCAAGTGCTGAAAAATCACCAGCATCTGGCTCTGGAAGGGAGGCCATCATCCATTCCGAGGGAAACAATACACAACCATGGTCCATTCTCAGGCCAGAATCCCATTCTCATTCCTTGTACGCCTACTTTTCAGCCTGGCCAAGAAATATTCCGATAACTTCCTAACTAGGCTCTTTGCCTCCAGCCTTACCTCTTCCAAATACATCTTACAATAGCTATTCCTAGAATGATCTTTCACTATGTATCTGGTCACTCTACTTCTTTGCCTCAAACCTTCCAGCAGCTTATAATCCACCCACCCACCCATCCATCCATCCATCCAATTATTCAACAAACATTTTTGAGAGCTTTTTATATTTTAGGCACCATTCTAAGTGCTGGTGATACATGTAGAAAAAAAAAATACAGACAAGATCCTTGTTCTCATGGAACTTACATTTTAAGGGAGTCGGGATACGGTTCTACTGGATAAAGCTCCAGTGCCTCATCTTGGCATTCAGGGCTCATCTTTGTCTTTTCTTCACCTACATCTCTGGCCACCATCTCTCACTCGTTTTCCACCCAGGTACACCTCAGGTGAGGATACTAAAGTTCAAAGTGTGCGTGGGGGGGAGGGGAAGGCAAGAAGTCTTACCTGATGCACGTAACCACTAAGCATCAAAGTTGGAATTCAATCCATTTGTGATGCCAGTTCCTGGGCACACAGCAGGGGGTCAAAAGCTACTTATTGGTGGACCTATTTCATAGTCTCAACTTTATTTTTCCTTTGTTTGACACCATCCCAGGGCGGGTGTATTTCTTCTGATTAACCCAAACAAGAGATCATAGTTTGCTTTCAAAGGTTCTAAGATCAAGTCCAAGAGTAACCATATTCAACGAAGAATCAGTGTGAAGGGCGGGTTGGGGTGCTTGAGAGAGCTTTGTGAGCTGAGGAGACTCAAGGGCTCCAAGTCTGTTACAGACTCCTAGTTTCTGGGGTCTCTAAGCATCCTGTGAAGTTCTGTATTTCCAGGGATAATGCAGCTCCAGGTGCGACTGTTGCCTTTACAGGCTTTGTCAGCTCGTTTATCTTGCTCTTCCTGGAACTTTAGGGTAATGGGTTCTGCAGGGCAGAGCAAAGGAAGGAGGATGTTGTAACAGGTTTAAAGGTGAGGTATCCAAATCTGAAAAGCACAGGATTCTGTCCTTTCCATCGAGCTGAATGAAGGCAGTGGCTTCACCTTTTCTCGCAATCTCCTGGTTGGGGTCTGCAACTCTTTCTCCCACTGGTCCTCCCTGTGTGTTCCCAGCCCCAGGAACCACCCGACTGTTCCCCAGACTCCCCAGGGAAGTTCTGCCTGCTTCTGCAGGTAGGTTCAGTCCCTCCCTCCTCTGGGCAACCAGAACTCCCCACCAGCCCTGTTACTGCGAGGGTACCTTCCCCACCAGCCTGGCTGCTCTGTGAGGGTAGGATCTGAGATCCCAGCATCGAGCACATGGATCTTAGGACATATTCGTGGAATATAACAGGTGCATGGTTTACCCACAAAGGGACACCAGCTTTTAGAGCGAGGTATAAGGACAGCAGCAGGGCACTTCTGGTCCTAGAGAACTGTCAGTGGTGAACAGCAGTGAGGCCCGGCAACCTCAGGTACTGTCCCTTCCACACCCTGCTGAGGAGATGGGGTGGAGGGTAAATAAAGGGGTAACCTGGGCTGAGTCTGGAACCCCAGCACTTCGGGTTGACGTGAGCCTGTAGTACCTACAGACTGTGCTGACCCACAGCCTGCCAAACACTCAGAGACCAAACCCTGCGATTTCTACTCTGGTGCTCTAACCGCTGTTAGAGGTTCTCCCGACTCTTCTCAGTGGGGACTCATCATGTGTGTGTGTTTATGTGCACTACTGATTCTAATCACTCTTTGTTTCTCTCGATTTTCATCCTTTCCCACCCTGGGCTTTAGGTTCATCATCTATAACAGGGGTCTCCAACCCTGGTACCGGTCCGTGGCCCGTTAGGAACCAGGAGGTAGGCATAGCAGGAGGCAGGCAAGCGAAGCTCCGTCTGCGTTTACAGCTACTCCCCAGTGCCAGCATCGCTGCCTCGGCTCCGCCTCAGATCCTCAGGCATTGGATTCTCATAGGAGCACCGGTCCTTGGTGCCACAAAGGTTGGGGACCGCTGCTCTATAAGGTGACCTTCAAGCATGTTCTGGCATTCTAGACACCCTAGGATTGAGGATGGCAACTCCTTTAAACAGTGTGTGTGCCTCTCCTCGTGAGGCTTGGTATCTTTATCTTGACAGACTATATTCCAGACACAATGGGTACCCACTAATACCTGGCTCTCAGAAGATGGGGTGACTATAGGCTTCTTCGGAGACATCTCGGATTCTTGGCCTTCTTTGACTTCGGGGCTCCTTTCCACTTTGATCGTTGCAATTTTCTTTGCCTGCCTCATTCTGATAAGTTTCACTCTAAGGAAATGACCCTCCAGATCAGTTCTGGCTCTCCAACCCCCCAGCACCCCCCAAGTGGGCTCTGGCTCAATCAGAACTTCTGCTTTAGGGCCTCAGTGACACTGCCAGCTTGCTGTGTTATCGAGGGTGAGCCACACGACCCTCTGGGAACCGGTTTCATATTCTGTACGATGGAGACACCTCGCTTCCTTCTCAAGCTGTGGGATTCGGATGAGGCCGGCTATGAAAGGGCTTTGCAAACTGTAAAGGATTCTGTTGGACTTTGAGTCCAATTGAAGACTCTGCTTTGAAAATAGTTCCCCAACTGGCCCTGCCACCTGCTCCTCTTCTTTCTGACCCCTGATAAGCCAGTCACTCCCAAGCCCCGTGTTCTGACCGCCTCTCATCACTAGCCCCGTCTCAGGCCTGGTGCAGGCCCCAGGCCACCTGGCCCTCCCTCTCCGGCCCGCGTTCCACGCCAAGTTCACGCTTTCCTTCTCAGCTTGGCACACTTCCATGGCTCCCAACTGAGGATTAAGCCCGAGACATCTGGACTGGCCAAAGGCTCCCCTGCCTGACCACCTCTCTGCCCTGACCTCTGGCAACTCTGCCTTTCTCACTCTAGGCTTCTAGCCAGTAGGTTTAGCCAAGTTTCGAGAGTCTTTATGAACCGATACCAAGGATGCTTTTCACCTTTGCTTTTAGCCATTATTGGTTATTCTCAGTGCTACTGGCACGGCAAAAAGACACTGGAAATTCCTCAAACGTGTCCCTGGGGTCTGCATAGGCTACTTCCCACCAAACAAACGCGTGCTCAGCCCCCAGGTCCACTTAAGACTGTACTCCGGGGACTCTGCTGCCTTCTCCAGCGCTGCCATGTCCTCCTTTGCTTTCTCCCTTATGAAATTTTCTGAAAGCTCCTGTCCCTTGGGCGTATTTGTGGCTCAGTACAGTCCTGATGGCTCTGGACTGTGGTGACCCTGTCTGCCGCCTCTTTCCC